ACACTCATCATGATTAAAATGGGGATTCATCTTCCCCTTAAGCCAGAATTGTCCTCTTTGTCCCTTCCTTTAACTTTAGGCAATCCCCTACCCCACCCAGGTCTCCTGGCCACACTTTCCTCTTCACACCTGCACTATCTCAGCCCTCATTACCTGCATGGGGATGGCAGCCTCCCAGCTGCTCTTCCTGCTGTCAGGCTTTCTTCTGATTCTGCACTCAGTGTCAGATTGATTTCTGTAAAACATTATATCTAAATCATGTCAGATTTCACTCCTACAGGATTAAAGCCAAGCTTCTTAGTCCCATATTGAGAGCCCTTCTTTGGCTGCTCCTAGCGTACCCTTCCAGCCCTCTCTTCCACAATTGTACGTACTTTCTGCTCCAAATGCTCTGTTCTGCTCACCAGCCTCGAACACAGTGTTTTCTTTCTGGACTTTCCTTGAAGTCCCCGCCTCACCACCACTGCCTCTCCAAATTCCACCTATCTGCAGTGCACTTTCTTATGATGCCTTCTCTGGTCTTTCCCATCCTAAGGTGTTCACTCCTTCCACAGAACAACCAGAGTATTTTTTCTTTACCTCTCAATGCCTTGAGTGGTCTATGGACCAGCAGCATGGACATCACTGGGGAGCTTGTTAGAAATGCAGAATCACAGGCTCCTCTTGTGACCCATGGATCAAAATCTGCATTTCAGAAAGATCCTTAGGTGATTTGTATGCACATTTAAGTTTGAGAAGCACTGGACAGCATATCCATTGGGGGCAGGACCTTGCTTCTTTTTGGCGGTGGCCTTCAGCCAGGGCTGGTGGTGTTCTCAAGTACCAAGTTTAGCAGCCCCTTTCAGGTGACAGGTGCCACATCTGGCCAGATTCCATGAGCTATGGGAGGGGGTGAATGGTGGAGATAGAAGAAAAGGACGTGTGACTTGCCTGGACCCCTTCCACCTAGAATCTATACCCTGCAAGGCCCCAGAGCTCAAGATCTGTATATCTGACTCCAGAAAGCACTCTAGCAACATGAAGAGGAATCAATTAATCAATAAAGATCAGTTATCAAACATATAGCAAAACTTTTCCCTCTTCACAAAACACACATTGGTGGAAATGTCTGTTATTTTAATGTATGTTTTGAAAAGAAAAATATCTCTTTTTGGTTTTTTCTTTATAACATTAATACAGTTTCTAAAAGCAGCAACTTTAGAAAACACAATATGTCACACAAAGAAAATAAAAATGACTCATAATTCTACTATCCTGGTATAAATATTGTTAATTTAATGTTTTAGATTACTGTTCATTCATTCAACATATATTTACAGAGCCCTACTATGGGCCAGACCTGCACCGGGTACTAAGTATTCAGGGTGAAGAAGATGACACAGTTCCTGTTTTTAAGCAGCTGACAGCCAGCGGGTGGGGTGTGGGGTACAGGCATGGAACAAGTTAGGAACAGCAGTGTATTAATTTGCTAGGATATTAGCAAAGTACCACAAACTGGGTGATTAAAGCAACAGGAATGTATTCTCTCACAGCTCTGGAGGCCAGAAGTCTGAAATCAAGGTGTGGGCAGGGGTGGTTCCTTCTGAGTGTTGTGAGGCAGGATCTGTTCCATGCCCCTCCTCTAGCTTCTGGTGACAGCTGGCACTCCTTGGCATTCCTTGGCTTGTTGATATATCACTCCAATCTCTGTCTCCATCATCACCTGGCATTCTCCCTGTGTCTGTTTTCACATGACCATCTTCATATAAGGACACCAGTCATATTGGATTAGGGACCCACTCTACTCCAGCATGGCCTCAATTTAACTAATCACACCTACAATGAACCTACTTCCAAATAAAGCCACATTCTGTGGTACTGGGGGTTAGGACCTCAGCATTTTTTTTGGTGGGGGGGATACAATTCGACTCATAGTAGGCAGGGACGGTACAGAGTCCTGGGGGAGCATGATGGGGGTCTAAGGACTTTCAAACTGGGACTGAGCAAAGAGTAGGGATTAGCCAGGCAAAGGCAGAGAGACAGACAAATATGGGGTCCTCAGAGCATGGGTGTGGGGGTGAGCTGGAGAAGAGCATTCTGGGCAGATAAGAGACCAAGTGTCACTTTGAGGAATGAAAAGAAGCCAATATAGATGGAAGGCAGAGCGGGGGCAAAAGGCATGGGGCGCGCCGGGAGATGAGAGGCGGGGCCGGGCCACCTGAGCTATGGGCTTTCGTAAGGGGCTTCTCCTTTATCCTGAAGGAAATCAAAGGTGATGGAAGGTGTCAAGCAGGAGTGATTCATTCAGCTTTGTCGGCTGTCTCCTCCCAAGACTGAGCTCGCTGAAGGCTGTGTTGTTGGCTTCTAAGTTCTGAGGGAGGACACATAGCCGTGTCCTCAGGAGCCCACTTGCTGTGGAGGCATATGGCAACCCTGTCCAGGGCAGGAGATATGGCCATGCCCCCAGCAGCCCCTAGTTGGAGGGTGGGGGACAAGCCTTGCCTTCAGGAACTTTCTTCTGAACAGGAGGCAAGACTCACTCATCCCTGGGTGTGCCTTACCCTTGGTTGTCTGAGTCCTCAGAGTCTGGGGGACATAGGCTGGGGCCTGGCCATGCCATGTCCTGCATTCCTTGAGGCCTATGACAGAATGTGTCCAGGGCAAATGTGTGGCCTGTGTGCTTCCCAGAGGCCAGAGGCCCCAATGCTAGGGGAGGCTGGGGGCTGGGTCTTGCAGGGTCTGTGTCCTCAGCACCGTGCTCCCTTCAAGGGATGTCTGGGGTCTGTATTGCCTTCCTACTCAGGACCCAGCCTATCTGGTGCTCAACCCTTCCCTTGCACACCCTCAGAGGGCTTCCCCTTTACTGTGTGTGATGGGACAGAACCCACCCTGCCCAGAGCTGCCTGTCCCCGCCTTGTAGGTCTGGGTGGGCCAGGCTGGGTGGAGGAGAAGTGGGTCAGCTTGGTAGCCATGGTGACAGCAGCTGCTCCCTGCCAGCCTTCTCATCTCTTCACCACAAATCTCACCAATGGGCTCCATTGTCCAGTCTGGCAGGAATGGGGGCCAGGAGAGTGACGCTGGGGACTGGAGTGCATATGAGTGTGTGTGTGTTCATGCTCGCACGAGTGCCTGTCAGAGCTGATGTGCGTGCCTCAGCCGGGGTGCCCACTGCCCACTTCTCACCAATGGGCTCCATTGTCCAGTCTGGCAGGAATGGGGGCCAGGAGAGTGACGCTGGGGGCTGGAGTGCATATGAGTGTGTGTGTGTTCAAGCTCGCACGAGTGCCTGTCAGAGCTGATGTGCGTGCCTCAGCCGGGGTGCCCACTGCCCACTTCCCTGCTCATGGGAGCAGTAGGGCTCTTTCTGCCTCTCTGGGCTGGGCAGGGGCCACGTGGAGTGTTTGTGAGTGTGTGCAGATGTTACACACATGTGAGTCTGTGAGTGCCTGTGGCTGTCCGTGTGGCTCCTGTGCGCCTTTGTGTGGATGAGTATCTTTGTGGGTGGGTGTGCACATATCTGTACACACACGTGATTGTGTCTCTAAGTGTGTATCATCTGTGTAGGTCTGTAGGATGTGTGATCGCACATTTGAAATTCTGTGCCCTGTGTCTCTGTGTGTGTGTGTGTGAGTTTTGCAAGCCTGGTTTGGAGGAGATGAAGGTCTGCACACCGGGAGAGGAGCTAACACAGTGTGCCCCCGACTCTGGCTGGTGCTTCCTTGGCGCAGCCTGTCTCCCCCACACATACCAACCCCTGTCACCCACCCACCACTCCCTGAGTGTGGAAAGGAAAGGCTAGGGTCAAAGGGTCCCCTCTTCCCCTTCTGTGGGTGTAGGTACTGGCCTCTGCCATGGGCACAGATTGGCATGCGTGGGAAGTCCCAGTGCTGAATTAGGGTTGGGGCTGTGGTCTCAAATGCCAGACCCAGTATCCAGCAAGGGGTCAAGAGCTGAGATGCTGGCACAGCTCCATGGGCCACCTCCCATCTCAACTAAGAGGTGCAGGGACCCTGATCCCACACTTATTCTGGAGCACCCAGGACTGCAATGGGAAGTGATCCTGTTTGTCTCTGGGCCCTCCCCTGAAGTTGTTGTACCTGGTGTGGACTCCAGTTAAGAAGCACTAACACCTGGACAATCCTTTCCCATTTACAAAGCCACCATTATTAGTAATTATAATGTGATTGCCCAACTGAGCAATTAGCGTACACCAATCCTTGTTTTGTAACATTTTATCTAATAATCCTAAGGCAGACATTATTATCCCCACTTTGGAGATGAGGAGGGTAGCATGGGGGGGGGGTTAAGGGAGCCCTCCATCACATGGCTTGTCAGTGGCAGATCTAGGTTTTGAACCTAAGCTGGTCTGCCTCCAGAGCACTGTTTGTATTCACACCAACTTCCTGTACCTCACTGTCTCGTCTGATCCCTTGTCCAACCTGGAGAGTTGGGCAGGGTCCAGGTGGCAATTAGACTCATTTTATAGAAGAGGAAATGGAGGTTCAGAGAAACTCAGTGACTTGCTCAGGATCACATGGCTGGGGGTAGAGCCAGGAGTGCCTACCTTGCTACTGACTGCTGAGAATGTCACAGGGTGTCTGGGAGGAACACAGACCCCATTTGTCAGGAAAGGGTGGAGGAAGGGAGAATAGGGTCTAGAGCTCCTTAGCAAATGGTCCTGGATGAGTCCCTCGTGTGTTAAAAATATTAAAGCTGTGAGGCTTCAGCAGTTTGACATTAAAGCACCTAAAGTCAGATCAGAGGAACCAAGAGTTCAGAGTTTTGCAAAGGAGGAAACAGAATCGGAAAGTTTAAATGATTTGCCCAAGGCCACACAGCTATCTCCAAAGTCTGTCTTTTTATTCCACAAGCTACTGGAAGCCCTTGAGGACAGATATCTTCCCTTGCTCTTCCTGTAAGATCCCCTCTTCCCTTCCAGACCCTTTTATCACATCACCTCCTCCTGGGAGCCTGCCCTGATTGCCTTCACCTCATTTCTTGAAAATTTGGTGTCTTGGCAGAAGTTAACCGAAGCCTTGTGCAAATGCCCTAGGGGTGTGCTGTTGGGAGGGGCACAGCCCCCTGTGATGTGGAACACCACGCTCAGATTCATCAGTCAGATTCATCAGTTCGGTGAGTTTGGGTTTTCTTCCAGGTGAGGGATGGGGAGGGAACACCTGACAGGTGATGTAGTACCTGGGAATTAGGGGACTTGGGCTGGAGCTCTGGTTTTGCCACCAACTTTCTGTGTGATCCTGGTTGTGTCTTTTCCTCATTCTGGGCCCTGATTTCCTATTCTGCAAAATAAAAGACACAGGCTGGAATAGAGATGGCAAATCAGTTTTAGCTCAGGAGCTGGTTCTCACCAGCAGGTGCGAGAACACTGTGTCGAGAGGGATTCTGAGGTTAAATCTGACCTCGACAGGAAAGAGAGATGGATTGGTGATGTCTGCTGTGGGTGGAGGCTAGGAAGGGGTGCTGGGGCCTCAGTTATTTTCAATCCCTTCTACAGTAAGTCCATCACCCAGTGGTGAATTCCGTGGTCTTTCCTGTTGAAAGAATGGGTGGCTAGGTTCATCTTGGGCTTTTGGGCGGCTTCACTAATTCTCAGAGTAGACTTATTACCTGGCTAGACACACGGCCAAAGTGACCAAGGAGCCCGGGGTGGCCTGGCAAGGCCCTAAGACCTGCTATTGTTAGAATTTGGGAGAGGATTTAAAGTGCCCTTTGGGTCTGCTGAGACCCCAGAGTAAAGGCCAAACATTGAGGGCTAGAAAGAAAATACTAGGTTTATTCCTGGGGAGCTTGGAAGGTATCCTCCGGCCTGGAGTTTTGACAGGAGTGGGGGGCAGTGGTCATCCTCCCCAGAAGGTAAATGAGAACCAAGTCCCTCTGCTGCTGTAGCAGCAGATGGGAGTCCTCAGGGAGAACTTCAGAGTGAGATTCCCATGGCCCAACAAGATCGTAGGAGGGTTTCCTTACTAGAGGTGCCATGAACTGGGCTGGGAAAGAGACAGTCCTGCTAAGAGGCAGAGGAATTGTTGAAGTGACTTTCATGGAAAGGATGTAGTTCATTTAGCAATTGTTTAGAACCACCAATATGTGATGTGCTGTATTTAGTGTCCTGCCAGCCTCTTACCACTCTGCCCCCAACTCCACCTCCTCTCCTTTCCTATCCCTCTGGTCTGATGGCTCGGAGGTTGCTGTGCAGTGGAATTTCCTCTTTGTCTGTCTCTCTGGCTTGCCCTTCCTGAACTAGACTGGTGCCAGAGAAGGAACTAGAGTCCCAGTTCTGAGCCCTGCACTGCTGTGGGCATTCACAGATTCTGCTTTCCCAAACGGACTTTTAGAGATCACCTGATCCAACCCTTTCATTTAACACACCGATGAGGAAGCCAAGGCCTAGAGAAGTTCACAGAAGGAGTCTGTTCACATTCTAACCGCACATTCTGATTGCTAACCCTCCCAGACTGCCTTCCCCAGGACTCCTGGAGCAGAGGGTCAGGCCCCAGGACCTTGGGTCCAGTGCTCTGGGTCTGGGTCCTCCTGCCCTCTTTGGGAAGTGCCCTGTAGGCTGGGCCGTCCCAAGCATTCATCAGTTCTCCAGACCTCCTGGGTGATCCCTGGGTGGTTAAAGATGAAAAAATAGCTCTGGATGGTACAGAATGCTGGATGTCAAACCATCTGCTTGTCCGTTCCATTCATTATTCATAAGGAAACATGAGCCCCAGGGTTGGCAGGGTCAGGAATTTTGTCCCTTATCCTCTTTCCTTCTCACCCCCTGGGGGTAGTGCTCTCAAGCTTCCTGGAGGCTGCACCAGGGAAGCACTTGCTTCTCCAGCTGTGGTCTGGGTGGGATTTCTGCTGCCCCCTAAATGCTCACAACAGCTGTGGGAACCTGGGCTAGAGGGGGTTTTCTCATAATAAACAGTTCTCTTGCAGCTTTCTCAAGAAGCCCAGAGACCCAGGCAGAGCCTGAGCTTAAGGGGTGGGCCCACATCTTTGGATGAGCTCTGGTTGAAGGGGCAGGGGCTGCTGAGCATGTCTGCCTCTTTGTGGAATCAGGAGACTTGGGCTTGAGTCCAGGCCTTACCACTTCTTAGCTGAGTAGGATGGGAAAGTCCTTTACTTCTCCGAGACTCAGTTTTCTCACCTGCAATATGGACGTAACTACACGCCTCACAGCAATACTATAAAAAAGTAAATTAGACTTACTCTGTGGCAGATTCACAGATCAGATAAGCCCTCTCCCACCTTCCACCAAAAGACTATGCAGATACCCCAAAAAACACACCAACTGGCACTGGAATTGGAAACTAAAGAAAAGAGATCATCACAGGCCAAGGTCCAGGGGGACTTTCCATTAGCTGCAAGGTTGCTGGGGGTGGAGAAACACAATCCGGGACTCTGCACATATCACAGGGTGAATGAAGACAGTCCAGACAGCCACGAAACAGCCAAAACAAGACTTTGACTTATCCCCTCTGTCAGCCCTAATTTACCAGGCCAGCAGGAGCCATGCTGACCAGGAGACCAGGTGCTCACTTTCAGCTGTCTGGGGACTGTCTTCCTCATCAACCAGAATGATGTCTTCCTTCTCCCATCACCATTTTTCCTCTGCTTTCTATGTTAGTTTTGAAAAATCAGGGTGACAGACCTGAGGGCAGAGGGTCAAACAGAGTGCTCTGAAGCCTGGGATGGGCAACTGCCCTGGGAGAGCACAGTGGGCCGGGACAGAGCCAGGAAGGGGCTGGTGCAGAGCATGTTGTCGCACCTGCCTTTCCTACGTTCTGCCTGCACAGAGGAGGCCGACTACAGCATCACGCTGTGCAGCCGAGTCATAGAGGCCACCGCAGTACAAAACAGAGCCACAGACACCTGCTGCCCTCTCCCCAGAGCAGTTCTTAGAGCCCTCTGTCCTCCTCTTCCCTAGCACTTACTATAACCGTCAGTAGATATTGAATTGTATAATTAGTTATTTACTGTCTGTTCTCCCAGCCTGGACTGGAGGCTTTGGAAGGAAGGACCAAGTCGTCCTGGCTCACTGCTGTATCCTTGGCACTCAGCATTGGCCTTGGAATCTTAGGGGCTTAAATATTTGTTGAATGCAGCTAATGGGGAGAGCAAATTTCTGTACTTTGGAAAGGAATTTGGCAATGTATTTCAAGAATCCAAAAAACACTATGCCTTTGTTATCAGATAGGATGCTTTTGGATGTAACAGAGAACCTTGATTCAAACTGGCTTAAACGATGGAAAATATATTATCTCACACAGCTGGAAGACCAGAGAAAGGCAGGCTCCAGGTGTGGCCTGAGGTCCTTTCTGTCTCTGTGCTGTGCTACTCTCAGCGGCATTGGCTTCATCCCAGGGCTGGGCCCTCTCTAGGAGGGGAGAGAAAAAGAGAGGGAGGAAGAGAGACCCCCACCTTTCTTGTAAGCATGAAATCCAAATCTTCCCCTTAAGTCAAATTGGGCCAACTTAGTCATATGCCCACCCTTGGACTAGTAAGTTGCCACGGTGAATGCCATTCATTGATTGCTTTAAACTAATCAGGATCTGCTTCCAAAACAAGGGTTGGGGTGGAAGCTGGACAAAACCAGCACTCTGTCAGAAGCAGGAAGCGGGGATGGCTGTTGGGGAAGCCGCCAGTAGTACCACACCTCTTACCCAGTCACTCCGTTTCTAGGAATCAATCCTAAGGAAATAAGCAGACAAAAATCAATGTAGAAAGATGTTTATTGCAGTGTTTATTTAAAAGAGAAAGAGGGAGGAGAGAAACTCGGGCCTGATCTAAGAGTTAACTGTATTGAAATATGTAAGTCATTTATGTTACCTCTATACTATGGAATATTATGGTGGCATTAAAACATTAATATAAGACGACATTAGGAAATGTTTATGATACAATGTTAAATGAAAAGTACCAGGCTATAAAATTGTGTTTGCAGTATGAGTTCAATTATTTTTCAATTTTATACCAGGATATAAAATTATATTTACAGTATGAGTTCAATTATTTTTTTAAAAAATGCATAGAAAGCAAACTGGAAGGAAATGGGTTAAAATGCTTGTGGAGACTGCCCCTCAGTAGTGTAGTGAAGGGTGATTGTTGCCTGCTTCTTTATACTTTTCTGTACCATCCCTTTCCCTTCCACAGTCTGCACAGACTGGAGCCAGTTTTGTTCTCCCTGCTCTTACTTGCTATGAAAATCACGATCTGGGCCTGGCTGGTTACTCACTTGGTTAGAATGCAGTGCTGAAAACACCAAGGGTTCAGATCTGTGTACCAGTCAGCGACCAAAAAAAAAAAACATAAAAAGAAAAAAATTACAACCACTAACACATTGGATATTTGCTCTATGCCTGACACTGTCTAGGTGCTTTACATGCTCTATCTAATTCAATCCTTCCTACATCCTATGAGGTAAGTGCTTCTATTTCTCATTTTGCTGAGGTGTTCACTGAAACCCCCAGGTGTTTGGTCACAAGGTCATACAGCTGGCATGTAGAGGCCTTTAGAATTCAAACCCAGGTCATCTGACTCCACAGACTGTGTCTTCACTGCCAAACCAGGTCACCTGCTGCATTCACCATAGCCATGTGCTCATAACAATAGCCCAATTTATTGAGACACACCCTGCACACACCCTTCACATTGATTTGTTCATTTAATCCTTACAACCTTAGAGAGGCTGAGTGACTTGCCAAGGTCACAAAGCTAGGAAGTGGTGGGGCTGTGGTAGAGTCCCCCGGGTCTGATGTGGGATCCTTTTATCTCCTACCCACCTTCAGAGCTGCCTGAGACCCTGCTGCCCCGGGGACCATGTTTAACGGGGAGCCGAGTCCGCCCTCAGCTGGGGCCTCCAGGAACGTGGTGCGGAGCTCCAGCATCAGCGGAGAAATCTGCGGATCCCAGCAAGCTGGGGGCGGGACCGGGACCACCACTGCCAAGAAACGGCGCAGCAGCCTGGGTGCCAAGATGGTGGCTATCGTGGGCCTGACTCAGTGGAGCAAGAGCACGCTCCAGCTCCCACAGCCTGGTAAGGGGGTGTGTGATACCGAGGGGCAGGGGTGGGGGCCACTTTGCAATGACAGAGTACCCAGAGACAGTCCTGATGGTGTGCACTCCCACACCCACAAACATTTTTATAGCACTTCCCATACACCAGGTGCTCTTCCAGGTCTGGTATGTGTACTGACTCTTTTAATCCTCATGCAGCTTTGTGAGGCAGGTACTGAGAGAAGCACAGGAGAAAGTCACAGGAGAAGGGAAATCAAATGCCCAAAACTACACAGCTAGTAGGTGGGGGAGTCTGGATTCAAATCCCAGCAGTTGGGCTTCCTCGTTCATGCTCTCAGCCTTTACAGTCTGCTGCCTCCACACACAGACTTATACACGAATCAGGAATTATTCATTAAACAGCCTTGTGTACCTGGTACCGTGCTAAGTGACAGACGTACACATTCACAAGATTCAGTCTCACCTGTAATCTCCAAGTCGCCTAAGTACAAATAGCCACATAAATGCAGTTACATAGTCACACGAACACATTACAAAGTCACAGGGGAGAGACACACACAAAGACACATGGCTTGTACAGTCACATAAGTAGAGTGCTCAGTTGTTCTGGTAAGCCACTCATATTGCCAGGAAAGCACAGTACAGTCATTCCCACTGTATATGGTCACGTATAAAACCTGCCGTGCAAATCACACAAGCATGGTGTTCTGAGTAGAGACATAGACCCGATCACAGAAACATGTCACACGTGTGTACACACATACCTCACAAAGCCACATTCATACACACCTCAACAGCTACATCCTGAGAAATACTTTCTAAAACTCCTAGTTACAGAGTCCCAGCTATGCTCAGACTGGTGGGTGACCACCTTGTCACACACAGCCACACGTGGACCCCACTCACACAGCAGCCAGCCCTCCCTACCAAGACCTTCTTACTTTGTGGCATCAGCCCAGACACCAGCTGGTTTTGTTTTAAGAATCTCTTCCTGCTTATTTTGCTCCGAGTAACAACTTCCCCAAGAAACCTTCAAATAGGCAGCTGGAGGGGGTGGTGAGGAGGCGGGGGTGCCGGAGGATCCAGTAAGAAGCTCCTCAAGCCTTCCAGGCGGTGCTGGGGGTGGGGGACTTTTCCAGGCCTTAAAATAGATTCCCACAAAGCCCTCGATAGAAGCACGTGGGATGGTCTTTTCCAACAATCAAGCTGTGACATGGTTTCTGGCTCAGGGAAAGGATAGAAGGGGAAGGGGCTTGAGGTTATCAGTGCCTGGGGTGGGTGTGACCTCTGTGAATATGTAGTGTGTAGGCCTGGCTCTAGGGAGCCAGGGAGGTGGGGATTTGGGGATCCAGGAATGGGCTGGGATAGGACCAAGGGGTGGGATTAGGGATAGGGGATCCTAGAGGCATTGGACACCAGGAGTCTGGCTCCAAGAGACCAAGCCCAGGAAACCAGCTGATTCAGCTTCAGACCCAAAGGCTTCATGTCCAAAGTGATCTAGAGGGACAGTTTTCCAAGGCCAAGCCAGGGTCCTGAGTCACTGGGAGACATTCCAGTGATCTGCCTAGACTTCACAGTCAGCCGGCAGGGATTGGAGCAGACACCAGGAAGACCTTTCACCTTGAGAAGAGATAAACAACGATGGGCCTTCCGGATGCCTTGTCTCCGGGGTATGTGTGGGCATGGCTAAGGGCCTGGGGCCTGGAGCTAGGGGAATTGCCCAGCTGCCCTTCTGACTGAAGGTCTCTGTGAATCATCTGATCACTGAATGTCAGAGCAGTAAGGGTCCCTTGAGATCATCTAGTTTGATGTATTCATTTTATTGATGAGGCATCCAAAGCCTGGAGGGAAGTCACTCTCCTGGAGAGTGACCTTAAGCCAGCCTTCAGAGCCATTTATTAGCTGGGTGCCTCGGGTAAACTACTTCATCTCTCTGAACCAGCTTCCTCGTTTGTAGAATGAGAACAATAATACATGCCTTGCAGAGTTGTCCAGGAGATTAAATGAGATAGTTTGCAAAGGCGCCCAGCCTGCTGCCTGGCACATAGTGGACACTCAGCCAAGTGTCACTGCTGTTATTATTGCCTGTGTTCACATGGTAGAGCCCAAACAGAAGTGAGTTCTCTGGCCTCCACACCTCTGGCCCTTCCCTGTGGCACACTCCTCTACCATCCGTATAACTCCTTTTCCCCGTTTTTTTCCTCCCAGGCCTTGAGGATGCCAATGTCCCAGCTTGGAATCCCCTCCTTGGTGGGAGAGTCTGGTGCCAGAGGAATGTGTGGGGCAGACTCACCATGGGCATTGGCCCTAGAAAAACTGTTCTGAGAAAAGATCCTCGAAGGGTGCCCCCTGCTGCCCTAGATGGGATGGTTCTGGCCCTAGAAAAACTGTTCTGAGGAAAGACTCACCATGGGCATTGGCCCTACAAAAACTGTTCTGAGAAAAGATCCTCGAAGGGTGCCCCCTGCTGCCCTAGATGGGATGGTTCAGTTCCCTGAAGGGCTGAGCTGTGTGAAGAGGGAAGGAGGATTCCTCTCCTGGACCCAGTCTTCTGGGCTCTGGGTCTGCCCTTCATGGGCCCCTTTCCTTCTAGTTTATCTGTACCCTGCATTGGCTAGAGCCCTGCCCATTCCTCTTTGTTTCAAAGCCTCCGCCCTAGTTCAGGCCCCATAATATCTAGCCTGGAGTATTGCACCGGCTTCTCTAGTTCCCCTGTCTCCTGCCTGCCCCCTTCCAGATTATTCTTCATGTTGCCCTAGAATGGACTTCTGAAAACTCAGTGACTTGCTTTAGAGGACTAGTTCTGGCCCTGTAAGTGCCTATGGGACCTTGGGAAGGTCACTTTCTCACTGAGCCTCAGTTTCATCTTTTGTAAAATGGACCTAAAAATGCTCTCTCCCAGCTTCCTTCTGGATCTTACATTCTCTAAGCTGTGAAAGCAGTGAGGAGGGTGGGGTCAGAGCTTTGGGATTCCAGAACGCAGGTAGGCTCTGGCCTGGCATTAGGTTAACTCCACACAGGCCCATCCTGGGCTGTACCAGACTGCCCAAATGGAGCTCATCTTTTCAATACCAGGGACAGTGGCATTTCCCTTGGGGGCTCCTGGTCAGGGTGAGGAGAGGGCTCAGGACCATTCCAGAAGATGCCATGGGGAATGCAGCTGCAGCCCATGACTGCCTCTCCCTTGTATGTGATGGGACAAATGGGATGGTTCCTGGATCCTTCGGTTCCCGGGGACCACAGAATTATTGCAAGCAACTTGGCCTGGTTCTTGAGAGAGAGGTTACATAAAGTTATTCAGCAGGGGTTGAGAAGGACAGATATGGAGCCACTACAGGAATTTTCTCTGAGGTTGCAAGACTGTCTTCACCCTGAAGATGTAGAACTTAATCTTTGATGAATCACATCTCAAATAGATGGGGGGTTGGGAGGGGAATGAGAAGTAGCCTGTCAGTAGACTGGGAGTCTGGGCCTGGGATCTAGTCCCACCTCTTTTGGTGCCTGGACCTCAGGCCCCCCATCTTTGAAATGGGAGGAGGTGGCTAATTGAAATATCACGAAGGTTTCAGGATTCTGTGACTTACCCCCTCAAGGGCCCACATTGGGTTGGGCAAACCTGATCTGAGATGGTCAATTTGCTCCCAAGTGGTTCAGAGCTTCCTCAGGCTCTAGAAAGGGCATTGGTGTCATGAGGTGGCAAGGCTCTGGCTTCAGCTCAGGGTGTGTGTTGGGGATGTGAGGGGAAGGTGGGTGACTTGCAGCCCCCACAGACCCATCTGCCTTCTAGCTGGGTTAGAGGGGATGCGGCAGTTTGGAGCCAGGGACAGGGAGAGTCCCCCACGCCCACTGTATTTACCAGCCCTCTGTGTGTGTGGTGGGTCACACACCACTGGTGGGTTTGCATCAATGTGGATGGGCTCAGCTCCAAGTATTATGGTGTGAAGATCCCATGTATATGACCTGACTGTATGTGACAGAGTACGTCGTGTGTATATGTGACTGAGGACTGGTAGGACCATTTGTGACTGTTGTATAAACATACCTGTAACCTTGTATGTGAGATTACTGTATTCATATGTGTGATTGTCAGCACTTATGTGTGTCTGCTTATACCTGTCAATGTGAAAGAAATATGTATAAGCTAATGTGACTGTGGATGTGTGTGTTACAGACAGACATATTGATGGTCTCATTGATTTCTGGATATGCAAGCTATGCTATTATCCCAGAAGCCACGATGCTCTCAGAGAGAACATTCCTCCTTTTTTGTTTGCTGTTTTGTTTGGGGGGTTTTTTTGTCCTTTTTGTGACCGGCTGCACCGGCGCTCAGCCAGTGAGCTCACCGGCCATCCCTATATAGGATCCGAACCCACGGCGGGAGCACTAAAGCGTTCCC